GTTAGCCCCGAGACTCTCTGCCTGTGTGTTGGGGTTTACCCCGGGGGACAAGAGGGTAGCTTCCTTGCGCCTTCGGGTCGGGGAACGGGTCCTGACTGTTGTTTGTGCTTATGGGCCAAATATCAGTTCAGAGTACCCACCCTTTTTGGAGTCCCTGGGACGAGTGCTGGATAGTGCTCCATCAGGGGACTCCATTGTCCTGCTGGGGGACTTCAATGCTCACGTGGGCAATGACAGCTTGACCTGGAGGGGTGTGATTGGGAGGAACGGCCCACCTAATCTGAACTCGAGCGGTGTTTTGTTATTGGACTTCTGTGCAAGCCGCAGTTTGGCCATAACGAACACCATGTTCGAACATAAGGATGCCCACCGGTACACTTGGTACCAGGGCAGTCTAGGTCACAGGTCGATGATAGATTTTGTAGTCGTATCATCTGACCTGCGGCCGTATGTTTTGGACACCCGAGTGAAGAGAGGGGCGGAGCTGTCAACTGATCACCACCTGGTGGTGAGTTGGATCAGATGGCAAGGGAACATGCCGCGTAGACCTGGCAGACCCAAACGCATAGTGAGGGTCTGCTGGGAACGCCTGGCAGAAGAACCTGTCAAGACGGTCTTCAACTCCCACCTCCGGCAGAGCTTTGACCACGTCCCGAGAGCAGTGGGGGACATTGAGTCCGAGTGGGCCTTGTTCCACTCTGCGATTGTCGAGGCGGCTGTTGCTAGCTGTGGTCGTAAGGTGGCCGGTGCCAGTCGTGGTGGCAACCCCCGTACCTGCTGGTGGACACCAGAGGTTCGGGGAGCCGTCAGGCTGAAGAAGGAGGCCTACAGGGCGTGGCTGGTCTGTGGATCTCCGGAGGCAGCAGACAGGTACCGGATAGCCAAGCGGGGTGCAGCAGTGGCAGTTGCCGAGGCAAAATCTCGGGCGTGGGAGGAGTTTGGTGAGGCCATGGAGAAAGACTATCGATCGGCTCCAAAGAGGTTCTGGCAAACTGTCCGGCGCCTCAGGAGAGGAAGGCAGCAACTCGCTCACACTGTTTACAGTGGGGATGGGGAGCTGCTGACGTCAACTGAGGCTATAGTCGGACGGTGGAAGGAATACTTTGAGGAGCTCCTCAATCCCACCAATGCACATTCCGAGGAGGAACCAGAGCTGGGAGGCCTGGGGATGGACTGTCCGATCTCGGGGGCAGAAGTTGCTGAGGTATTCAAACAACTACACAGCGGCGGAGCCCCGGGGGCGGATGAGGTTCGTCCTGGGTATCTCAAGGCTATGGATGTTGTAGGGCTGTCATGGTTGACACGTCTCTACAACATTGCGTGGTCATCGGGGGCAGTTCCTAGGGAGTGGCAGACCGGGGTGGTGGTCCCCATCTTTAAGAAGGTTGACCTGAGGGTGTGTTCCAACTATAGGGGGATCACACTCCTCAGCCTCCCTGGAAAGGTCTACGCCAAGGTACTGGAGAGGAGGGTCCGATCGATAGTTGAATCTCAGATAGAGGAGGAGCAATGTGGTTTTCGTCCTGGCCGTGGAACTGTGGACCAGCTCTATACCCTTGCAAGGGTGATGGAGGGGGCATGGGAGTTTGCCCAACCAATCCACATGTGCTTTGTGGATTTGGAGAAGGCTTATGACCGTGTCCCCAGGGGCACCCTGTGGGGGACGCTCCAGGAGTATGGGGTGGGTGGCTTTCTGTTAAGGGCCATTCAGTCCCTTTACCAGAGGAGCGTGAGTTTGGTCCGCATAGCCGGTAGTAAGTCGGACCTGTTCCCAGTGAGGGTTGGACTCCGCCAGGGCTGCCCTTTGTCACCGGTTCTGTTCATCACTTTTATGGACAGAATTTCTAGACGCAGCCGTGGTGTGGAGTGTGTCGAGTTTGGTGGCAGGAGAATCTCGTCTCTGCTTTTTGCGGATGATGTGATCCTCCTAGCTTCATCCAGCTCTGACCTTCAGCTCTTGCTGGGTAGGTTCGCGGCCGAATGTGAAGCGGCTGGGATGAGGATCAGCACCTCCAAATCTGAGACCATGGTTCTCGACCGGAAAAGGGTGGCTTGCCACCTCCGGGTCGGGGGAGAGGTCCTACCTCAAGTGGAGGAGTTCAAGTATCTCGGGGTCTTGTTCACGAGTGAGGGTAGGAGGGATCGGGAGATCGACAGGCGGATTGGTTCGGCATCTGCAGTGATGCGGACGCTGAGCCGATCTGTCGTGGGGAAGAGGGAGCTGAGCCAGAAAGCCAGGCTCTCGATTTACCGGTCGATCTACGTCCCAATCCTCACCTATGGTCATGAGCTTTGGGTAATGACCGAAAGAACGAGATCGCGGATACAAGCGGCCGAAATGAGTTTCCTCCGTAGGGTCGCCGGGCTCAGCCTTAGAGATAGGGTGAGGAGCTCGGACAATCGGGAGGGACTCGGAGTAGAACCGCTGCTCCTCCGGATCGAAAGGAGCCAGTTGAGGTGGTTTGGGCATCTGGTCAGGATGCCTCCTGGACGCCCCCCCGGGGAGGTGTTTCGGGCATGTCCTGCCGGCAGAAGGCCCCCGGGTCGACCCAGGACACGTTGGAGAGGTTACATCTCCAATCTGGTCCGGGAACGCCTTGGGGTCCTGCCGGAGGAGCTGGTGGACAAGGCCGGGGAGAGGACGGCCTGGAGCTCCCTAATTGGGATGCTGCCCCCGCGACCCGGACCCGGATAAGCGGAGGAAGACGACGACGACCTTAAAGAACACTTGGAGGAATGTTCTTTATTTTTGACTAGAATCTCAAATCTTTAAATTAAAATGTAACTGTTTTTTATCCATTTTCAGCCATTAAGACACCCAATATAAAATAAGACTACTTATAAAATTATATGTATGTATATATATAGATAGAGATCTTAATAAAATATATTCTTTTAATGGTGTTTTAATGAGCTGTATCATTTTTTAAAACATTTTTTATAGAAATAAGCAAGCAGCATTCCTTGTGTGTGTGTGTGTGTGTGCGCGCGCGCGCCTGCTCGCTTGTCCTTCCGTCGGCCGTGATGGGTGTGTGTGTGTGTGTGTGTGCGCGCGCACGTGCCTGCTCGTTTGTCCCTCCATCGGCTGTGACGAATGTGTGTGTGAGTGACTACAGACAAATGCATGAGAGAGTTAGCAGCCATGAAACAGCTTGATGAACTACTCTCCCCACATGTTTTAAAAATGCTAATATGCTATGCTAAATCTGCTATGCTAAATAATGATTTCTCTATAGAACTACAAAGTCCGACTGGGGGAGGAGAGTACAGGTCTGCACTATGGAGGGGGGGGGGGGGGGGGCGGAGTTTACAGCTCCTCCTCCAGTTTAAAGAGACAGTACCCCAAAACGGCTCGTTCTCAAGACTCTCCTCAGAACAGGGGTAGATGAGGGTCTGAGCAACAATAATGAGGAAATCAGACCAAAGAACTGCAGTTCCACTGTATTTAGACCCCAACTGAAGGATTTAGATGTAAAAAGGAATAACTTAAAAGCATGTTATGTCTCCTTTAAAAAATGTTGGAAGTATTTTAGTCTCTGGGCTCATCTGATGAATCTGTTAGAGGTCTGAAAACAGCATTTAAAAACAGAATAAAAAACATTCAGTTTGTTCAACAAACTTAAAATATTTTCTTTGGAGTCAAACTAAATGTTAATCTGGCAGAAAGTGTGTGTGTGTGTGGGGTGGGGGTGGGGGGGGGTGGGGGGGACAAGTGGAGCTTGAACTAATTTGACTTTCAAATCGTCTCCATGTGATTGCAGGAACAAATCCAGAGAACTCCACTTTCATGAGCTTCAGGTGGAAAAGAGCACAGAAATATAACCATAGACATGATCAGACTATATTATTATATTGTTCTGTTAAAATATTACCATTCTATTAAATTATTCTGGTTGTTATGATCCTTCCAAACCAGAAGAGAAACATTCAGGATGTTCTGATTGGAATGACTCTCCTTTTGAACTAAAATCTTTAAAAATAACAAGAGAAAATAAAGAGATTTTAACTGACAGAGAGTCATTTTGTCAGCAGATGGAACAGCTGACTGAGATAAACAGACATGAAATGATCTTTATTGATACCTAGAAACACAACCTTTTGTTTGTTGTACATCAGTTGTTGTTTAAGAATAACCCAGCTGGACATTTGGATCCAAACTGTCCGGCTGACCGGGTTCTGACCCGAAGCTGACAAGTAACCTCGATGTTTGTGTTTTGGTTTCATTTTATTTCGTCATTAAAACCAAATAAATTAGAATATAAGAACATCAGTGGATCCATGAAGAAGAAATAATTAGCCTTCTGCTTCCAATCACGTTTGAAACCACACGATACTCTAAAGTTCTCCAGTTCTCCAGATTATTTTACCTAAACAAACAATAAAATGAAACACTCTTAAATTTATGTATAATCTGACTTTTAATCCAGATTTTATGTTTAAACCGGAGAAAAAGATTGGTATTTTAATAGTTTTTAGTCTTGTTTTATGTTTTTGAACAAACCTTTTTCTCAGAGATTTTTTACTCTCAAACAGTTTATTCTAGATTAGAGATTATTACTGAAACTTTGAAATGTGTGATTAGAAGAATGAACAAAAAAAAATCTAGTTTATTTTTTTTTCTTTAGATTTGATGAGGTCAGTGCTAATAATTAGAGGCTGATGTTCAGTTTTTTCTACATTGACCATCGCCCAAAAAATAAAAGGAAAATCAGGACCTCAACACACCGTTTTTTTAAATGTTTTGAGTTTGTTTTATATTTGAAGTTCAATAAATATTAAGAGATTTATTGACTTATTTAATTTATATTGCACACTGTGTGTGTTCAGTTGTCTTTCACAATCAATGTGCTGCTAAACGTGTATATCGGCCTTAGTAATCAGCTCTTGATATCGTCCATCGGCAACAAAGTTATTTAAAAATCAGCATCAGCCTTAAAAAAGCCATATCAGTCTGCCTCTATAATAACCCCAGTTCTGGTTTTGGTTCTATTTCTGGTTCTGGTCCTGGGGGTCATGTGACCTGCAGCCTTTCCGTCTCAGACCTGCGTCTCATGCAAATGCTTTCCAAATCAGCTCCACTTTGACTGACAAATGTGTCATTTCTATAAGGGAAGGAGGAAAATGAGTCGGAGGTCAGACTGCTGATGACCGAGGAGCAGGTAGGGGTCACTCCTTCTCTCTGATCAGCTACAGTCAATACCTCCACTTTGTTTGCTTGAAATGTGTTTTTATATTTATAGAATCATGAATGTCAGGATGTCCCGCCTCATCTTCCTGCTGCTGGCAGCACTGACCTCAGGTGAACTCGTTATTTCTTATTAATCCATAAATCTGGACTTCTCTGATTAAATCCCCATCCACACTGAGCACCAGGAGGACTACGTCCTTACTTTAAATAAAATTAAAAAACTGATTGTTTTGTTGTTTCTTCTTTCCAGCAACTCCACCAGGGAACAGCACTGGACAACGGTTTGTGGTGGTTTTCCCTGAAAACATCGCCTATTATTATCCCACCAGTTCTCAAAACAAGGTTTGGGTTACAGCGTTACATAATGCTACACAGGTCACAGTTGCCAGCCAGACCCAAACGCTGAACTCAGGACAGACATCCAGCTTTAACACCGATGTGGAGCTGAAGAAGTTGGATGTCCCTGGGAGTCAGATGAACCCACCATATGAAGCCTTCAGCGTCTCCAACGACACCGTCCAAGTCACCAGCAACAAAAACATCATCGTCCAGGCTTTCAGCATGAGAAAACTCAGCATTCAGACCGCTCTGGTCATCCCTACGGATAAACTTGGCACGAAATATTTCATCCCACCTGTTCCCCAAATTCTGGGAACCACCGATGGACCTGTGACTCCTAACGTGACGGAGAGAGGTCCGTTCAGGGTCATCATCGTTAATTCTCAACAACAAAACACAGTCACATTTAAAGGTCAAGGTGAGACCAGCGTGACCCTACAGAGTAACCAGGTGGCTCAGATCTGGGTTCCTAATGACACGACGAAGCAAGTCGTTGTGTCCCAGTTTCCCGTGGCCGTCCTCTTCAGTCATCCCTGTGCCATGAAGTACGGGTGCACCTGTGGGCTGCTGACCGCCGCGTTGCCTCCAGCCAGAGACAGGTCTGTGAAGTTCCCAGTTCCTATGCTTCTGGCTCAGAACGCATCTGTACTTCAGTCTGATAATAGATCCAGTTCAGTGGTTCCCTTGAATCTAAATTCTACAATGGTTGAGTCGTCTGGTACGGTGGTCCTGTACCGACCCGGATTACTCCTCACACTGATCCCAGAGACCGAGTTTGCTTCCTGCTTTTTGGTCCCCTCGATGCAGTCCAACAATGGCTTCATCATCATTGTGGTAAACAAAAACTCCACATCCGGGATTCACATTGGGACAAGCCAACTCCAGAATCCCATGTGGCAGGAGCTGGATGGAACCGATTACATCTCCACCAACCTGAGTGTGACTTCAGACACCACCGTCGTCTGGCACGAGTCCTCCACAATGGCCGTCTACTTTGTGGCAAATCAGAGTAATCTCTGGTTTGGAAACCCGGCAGCAGTCATCAGCTCCACTCCAGGTAGAGGGCATACCTGTTTCTATATTACATCTGAGACAGAAATACCCAGGAGAGGTCAGAGGTCATGGTAGTCCTATTTAGTTTTGAACCTCTTCCAGGTCTCCTGAATGGTTCCTGAAGGAGGAACCTGTAAAACATTCAGTCCTAGACCTTCTGATGGAGACCTGGTTCTGGTGCAGATATAACTAATAAGACAGGAATGGTTTTAAGATGTCTTTGTTTTGTCTGTTTCGATTTCTTGCTAACTCAGATTTCCGGGGATGTGCCGTGACTGCAGAAGTTGTAGAGGTCCAGAGTTCTGCTTACAGTTGGACTGAATCTATTGGATCATGTAAAAATGAGACGTTGGAGCTCATCAGTCTGTCTGATGGACGTTTCCAAAGCCAAATCTGCACCAAACTGAGACAGGACAGCCCACAGGACGTGTGGATCGGAGTGCGCCGCAGCTCCATGACTGGGGACTGGTACTGGCTTAACAATAACACATTTACCAATACCAACTGGGCCGATGGAGAACCGGGCGGTGTGGAGGAAGGCCAGTGTGCAGTCATGAGTCTGAACAACAACTGTGGTTGGAGGGATGAAGACTGCTGCAAAGCCATCAGACCTGTCTGCTACCAGGGACCAGAACTCCTCAAACTGTCATAAAGACACAAAACACAGAATTCAGACGTACTTTTTATTTATTCTAATAGAAATAAATAACCTAGAGAGGATAAGGAAACTGTCATCAGAGCAGGAGAAACATGCTCTGATGCTTTTGCACTCAGAATTCCCTCCTTTGTAAAACAAATCTTATTTCATCAAATTTTGTGTCAGGTAAAAAAAATGAGTGATATTATTTTAGATTTTGAATTATCAGTTGAAGTATTTAATAAAAATGATGATTTCAGAGTTAAAACTTATGGCTGTTTGGGACTTTTTATGTTTAATTGGTGGATTTAAGGTGGTTTAGTTTTTGCTTTAGGATCCCGCCATAACGAGGTCATGTGATTTAGTGAATGAAACCTTTTGTAATATTTTACCCGCCTACAGCACAAGTCAACAAATAAAACCAAAATAAATAACATTTCTGATGTAGGATTTATGATGCTTAATAAAATAATAAATTGGTTTCTGTTTATTAACATTCAATACATCTGGATTGTGACTTATTCAATAAAATGTCATTAAATTAATTTCAGTGTGATTTTCTATCATCATGAAGGGACTGTTTTCCCCTCTCTCCTCATGAAGAACTTATCTCCGTGAGATAGTGCTCAAGGCCTTTGATGCCTCTGCATCTCAACTGTTTAACTAGCTATTTGCCTCCCCCTACAGCTCAAGAAGAAAGAAGACCAAGAACTCTATTAAATGATAATCAAATAACTTTGTCAGTCCAAATAATCATGTAAAGCTCAATGTTAAATCAATATGTGAAATGTGAATATTAATTACTTGATATTACAATCCTATGATAGTATTTTAATAAGTAATATAACTTTAAACTACACAGTAGACTGATCACACGTAATGTTAAAATCACATGACACATTCCTTTGTCTCTCCAATCAGAGCTTTTCTTTCTGACGCGTGGCGTAATCTGTGAGGTGCTTATTTTTGTTGTCCAATTCTGATTCGACCATAAATCAAAACATCTGAATTATAAAACTAATTCCCACGTCACCCTTAACTCAGTTCAAACGTTCTAAGTTGCGAGCCAGCCACTCGTAACTTTTTAACCACAAAGAACCTAACGACAAGCTGGAAAATAAACCTGTTGCAAGCTCCACCTGAAGCAACACTCCTTCAGAGTAAAAGCTGAACTCAATGACCCTTCAGGGTCCCGCTGATGCTGTCAAACAACTGTCGTTTACCTGGAGGCAATCCCAAGACTAGTCTGTCGTACCGTACGCTGTTTCACCGGCTCCGGTACGAAAGGGGGTCCTGAGGACCTGGCATTCTGGATCTACAACGGAGGTCCCCGCAACGGTGTGTAGTGCGGCAAGATAGCAGCTGAATGTGGTTTTTGAAACTCCGACTATAGTTTAGAGCAAAAACATTCGGTCCCACACAGAACTAACGCTTCTCTGGAAACGAGAGTTCTGATAACAACATTTCATTACACATCCATCTAGCCTCATTCACAGCCTAGATCCATTCATCACATCGAGTGTTTAGAGTTAGTTAGCCTTATTTTAAATTGTTTAGAAATAAATCTTCTTAAACTTTAAAACTTCTCTCTCTCTCTTTTGACTCTGGGTTATTACGAAGTGTTACGTAATCCCTGCAATAAAAAGTTCCTATCTTCTGTTTAAGGTAATGTTTAAAGATATATCAAATTGATTTCATATTTTTTATGGATTCTCACCTTGGATGGTTTCTCACATTAGATGCAACTATTGAACCACTACATCTTTTTCTAATTCAGATAAAAACGTTGATGAATGTTTATGTTTGTGTGTCAGCTGGAGCAAAATTAAAACATGAAGATCTAAATATCGGTTGATAAAAATAATCAAACAAAGAAATAATTTAGACTGGTTAACACTAATGGTTTCCATGAATTCCTTATAAATGGTGGTGATGTATAAATTATGCAGATGATGCTTTGTTTAATGTCTCAGAAAAATCTCTAAAATTGAACATGAATATGAGATTATGTCACTCCAGGAACTCAACTTATAGATGTCACTCTGGACCCGTGATACTTAACAGTCAATCAGACAGACAGACAGACAGGCAGGCAGACAGACAGACAGACACTTAGACACAGACAAACAGTCAGTCAGTCAGACAGACAGACAGACAGACAGACAGACAGACAGACAGCCAGACAGACAGACAGACAGTCAGACAGACAGACAGACATGCAAACAGGCAGACAGACACTCAGACAGCCAGCCAGACAGACAGACAGTCAGACATACACTCAGACAGTCAGACAGACAGACAGACATGCAAACAGGCAGACAGACACTCAGACAGACAGACAGACACTCAGACACAGACAAACAGTCAGTCAGTCAGTCAGACAGACAGACAGTCAGACAGACACTCAGACAGCCAGCCAGCCAGACAGACACTCAGACAGCCAGCCAGACAGACAGACAGACATGCAAACAGGCAGACAGACACTCAGACAGCCAGACAGCCAGACAGACAGTCAGACAGTCAGACATACACTCAGACAGACAGATAGACATGCAAACAGGCAGACAGACACTCAGACAGACACTCAGACAGCCAGACAGACAGACAGACAGATTACATCTTCTGAGTTATTTTTAGACAATAGAAAAATCACCAGGCTCAGAGGTGTTTTTGTTTGATTTTAATGTTTATTAACTTTCAGTAAATTGTTTAGTATTTTAAAATTATTGGAAGCGCTTCTGCTGAGAAACACGTCCTATCATCATCATCACTATCATTAATCATCACCTATATAATGAGTTAAGTCATTTTAAATCTGAGCAGGTTAGTTCCTCCAGGAGCTGATTTCCTGTAGAACTTGACCCTGGACCATCCACACCCCCATCCCCACCATCAAAACCACTTTAGCCCCCAGAGCCACTGACAGGAGGAGAAGGAGAGTCGTTGGTACGGAGGTGAATGACACTGGTGAACGGGGGTGAAGGACATGCAAGGAGGCCTGGTCTTTGCCACGCAGGTTGGTGGCTTTGCAGGTGTACTGCTGATCAGGTTTCACGCCTCTTAGCCGGCTGACGGTGAGGTGTCGAGGTCTGGAGCCCTGAGCCAGCGGAACCGTGTGGGAACCCTCTAGCAGGTCATCTGGGCCAAACCACTGGACTTCTGGCACCGGTGAGCCCTGAACCCGACACAGAGCAGTAAACCCAAACTGCTCGCTACCTTCAACCAACAGGGTCTGGATCTTTGGAGGAGCTTCAGGGACAGAAAAGGACAGGATTCATAGAAAGAATAAAAAAATCCTTAAACCATATTCAGCTCTAATTCACATGTGTGTGAAGGATTCACACTTCATTATAAAGTCAACCCTTAAAGGTGGAGGCAGCCTGAAATCTAGAGCTTGCTGACTGAAGACAGAAAACAGCAAGCACAATACAGGTGGGGGGGGTAATGAGGTCAATGTGAAGGCTTATTGAAGTCCAGATGTGTTGTTAATCATGTCTGGGTGTGGTGTTAGGAAAGTCCAGGTGTGGAATAAATGAGAGCCAGATGTGAGGCTAATGAGGTCAGTTTGAAGGATTAATGAAGTCCAGGTGTGGTCAATTTTGGGTGTGGTATTGAGGATGTCTAGGTGTGCAGTAAATGATGTCCAGGTGTGGAGTTAATTAAGTCAATGTGTGGGTTAACTGGTCCAGGTGAAGGATAAGGGAAAAAAAGAAAAAGAAAACATCAAAGCTTACAACAAAAATATGGGAGTAAACATTTAAACTGGTGATCAACTTGTTCTTAGAACTGGGGCCAGAACCTGAGTGAAACCATCTAACCCAGTTAGTCTTTGGGAAGAGCTCTGAGCAGACTCAGGTGGTCTACTAGAGATTTTATATTTAACAGAACATCATGTTTCAGAAGGTACCTTCCACTCTGAGCCTGGTCCCCATCTTGTCCTCAAAGCTGATGTGTTCCCGTCCCTGAACCTCCACTCGGCAGTAGTAATGCCCATCATCCTGCAAGGTGACAATGTTTATACGCAGCGACAAGTCGTGCTCTCTCGGATTGCCTTCCAGCCGGTAGCGCTGGTCCTGCTGTGGACCTGGTTCACAGTTGGGGGCTCCCAGTCGACTGGTGCAGTGGTACAGGACTATGGCCTCTTGCCCATGGCCCAGACGCCACAGCACCTGCAGTGCAGAATGCTGGGAATGTTGCGGGTGGCTGAAGGTACAGGGCAGCACCACTGGGTATCCATCTATACCCCGAACCTCTGAAAGTACATTCATGGACCAGCTGTCATCTCCGGAGCTGAAAGCTGCAGAGACACAATGATCAGAAACACAATCATCACATGTTGGGTCTGACCTGTAGTACAGAACAGCTTCACTTTAGAGTTCTGATATTATGCGTCTAAGTGAGGAGGGGTGCTGACTCAGGGGTAGGAGTACACCCTGTAACCAGAAGGTTGCTGGTTTGTACCCAGGCTCCGTCCACATCAGTCATCCTGTCCTTGACAAGACAATTCACCCTCTTTACCTGTTGGTGGTGGTCAGAGGAAGTGGAGGCTTCTGTCAGCGAGCACCAGGGCAGCTGTGGCTACAATGTAGATCATCAACATCAGTGTGTGAATTTGTGTGTGAATAGATAAATGATTCACTGTGTTGTAAAGCACTTAGAAGTCTGACTCCGAAATGCACTAGAGAAGTGCAGTCATTTATCATTTATCAATATTTTCAGCTGCATTTCCCTTTTTATGGTTGCCTATGTCACACCCCGTCCTGTCTCCCCATTCTGTTCATTCATGTGTCCTTGTTAATTGCTCCCACCTGCCTCTCGTTTTCCAATCATCCAAGCTCCCAGCCCTCATGTATTTAAACCCTTTCAGTTCTGTGTCTCTTGTTGGCTCATTGTTTCATTGTCCTGCGTGTTCCTTATTAAAATCCTTGTTTTAAATGTTCCTGTCTGCCTGCTCCTTCCCCTGCAATTGGATCCTCACTTCTGCTTCACTCCTCAGCACGCCTGACAGAATGAGCCAACCCAGTAAAGGATCCAGCGGGGAGGTTCTCCCTTGGGAGTGCTTGCTCCAGTTTTTAACCTCGGATCACCGGCCGGCTTCTCCTCCTCTGCCGTTGTCTGGCCGCAGATTCCGCTGCTGAACTCCAGCCGCGGCGGTCCCCTCCACCCTCCCGGAGTCAGATGAGAGGTTGGACCGGGAGACGCAGCTAGACCGCTCCTGCTATGTGGGCACCAGACTGGCTGTATGCTCCCCCGGAGTTGGCCCATGGCGTTGGGAAGGATGCCGGGCTCCACCATCACCCCTTGTCCCAGGACGGAGCCGTAAGCTCGCCGCTGCCCCGGCTCAGCGCGCCAGCATTAACCCGCCCCCAGTCGGATCAGCGGTCCCGTCTCCGGTCCGGTCAGCACCTCCGTCATCTGCAGGCGGAGGGACCACGCCTACAGCCCAGCAGTCAGAGCTCGCCGGTCTCCAGGCGGAGCTTGGCCAGATCCGTCAGCTCGTCAGCCTCCAGGAGTTCCAGCTGGACACCCTATCCTCCCCGAATCACCAGGAGAAGGTTTCGGTCCAGTCAGCAGCTCCCTCGTCTCAGGGCCAAAGAATCGAGCCCGCAGTCCACCCAGCAGAGCTCGCCGGTCTCCGAGCTGAGCTGGCCCAACTCCATCAGAGCCTCAGTCTCCAGGAGCTCCAGTTGGACAATCTATCCTCCTTGCTCTCCCAGTTATCGGCGCCAACAGTTCAGTCCGCTCCAGTCCCAGCGGTGACCCAAGAGGCTCTTCCCCCGGGCCGGCCAGTCCAGAAGTCGGCAGCCCCTCCTGCAGCGGCTCCGCCTCCACTCCAGAAGTCGACGGTTCCGGTCCAGAAGTCGACGGTTCCGGTCCAGAAGTCGACGGTTCCAGTCCAGAAGTCGGCGGTCCAGGTCCAGAAGTCGGCGGTCCAGAAGTCGACGGTCCAGAAGCCAGTGCCTCCGGACCAGATGCCGACGGTCCAGGTCCAGAAGTCGGCGGTCCAGGTCTAGAAATCGATGGTTCTGGTCCAGAAGTCGGCGGTCCAGGTCCAGAAGTCGGAGGTCCAGAAGTCGGCAGTCCAGAAGTCGGTGCTTTCAGACCAGTAGCCGGCGCCTACAGACCAGAAGCCGACGGTCCAGGTCCAGAAGTCAGCAGTCCAGGTCCAGAAGCCGGCGCCTCCGGACCAGAAGCCAACAGAGGTTGACACTCCTTCCAGTCCAGAGGTCGACGCTCCTTCCAGTCCAGAGGTCGACGCTCCTTCCAGTCCAGAGGTCGACGCTCCTTTCAGTCCAGAGGTCGACGCTCCCTCGTGTCCAGAAGTCGACGCCTCCTAGTGTCCAGAAGTCGACGCCTCCTCGTGTCCAGAAGTCGACGCCTCCTCGTGTCCAGAAGTAGACGCCTCCTCGTGTCCAGAAGTAGACGCCTCCTCGTGTCCAGAAGTAGACGCCTCCTCGTGTCCAGAAGTAGACGCCTCCTCGTGTCCAGAAGTAGACGCCTCCTCGTGTCCAGAAGTAGACGCCTCCTCGTGTCCAGAAGTCGACTCCTCCACTCCAGAAGTCGACACCTCCACTCCAGAGGTCGATGCCCCTTCCGGACCTGTGGTCGATGCCCCTTCCGGTCCTGTGGTCAACGCCCCTTCCGGTCCTGTGGTCGACTCCTCCTCCGGTCCTGTGGTCGACGTCCCCTCCGGCCCAGATGTCGACATCCCCTCCGGTCCAGAGGCCGACGTCTCCCCCTCCGGTCCAGAGGCCGACGTCTCCCCCTCCGGTCCAGAGGCCGACGTCTCCCCCTCCGGTCCAGAGGCCAACGTCTCCCCCTCCGGTCCAGAGGCCGACGTCTCCCCCTCCGGTCCAGAGGCCGACGCCGCCACCTCCAGTCCAGAGGCCGACGCCGCCACCTCCAGTCCAGAGGCTGACGCCGCCGCCACCTCCAGTCCAGAGGCCGACGCCGCCGCCTCCAGTCCAGAGGCCGACGCCGCTGCCTCCAGTCCAGAGGCCGACGCCGCCGCCTCCAGTCCAGAGGCCGACGCCGCCGCCTCCAGTCCAGAGGCCGACGCCGACGCCTCCAGTCCAGTGGTCAACGTTGCCGCCTCCAGTCCAGAGGTCATCGCTGCCGCCTCCAGTCCAGAGGTCGTCGCCGCCGCCTCCAGTCCAGAAGTCAAGGACATCTCCTCCGGCGTCTCTGCCTCCGGTCACCGCCAGTCCTGCCCTCACCAGACGCGGGCACTCAAGAGCCCGTCGGCGTCTCCTCCTCTGCCACAGACGCAGGCCCCCAAGATCCCATCGTCGCCTCCTCCTCTGCCACAGACGCAGGCCCCCAAGAGCCCGTCGTCGCCTCCTCCTCTGTCACAGACGCAGGCCCCCAAGAGCCCGTCGTCGCCTCCTCCTCTGTCACAGACGCAGGCCCCCAAGAGCCCGTCGTCGCCTCCTCCTCTGCCCCAGACGCAGGCCCCCGGACTCTACTGGTCCCTGCCTCCTCTCCATCGGTCCCTCTGTCCCTCTCGTCCTTCCCTCCGGGTCCTCCTCCTCCCGCCCTGCTCTGTGTTCCTATGGGCGTCTGGGTTCCGCCCTTTGGGGGGGGTGGGGGGGGGGGGGTGTACTGTCACACCCTGTCCTGTCTCCCCATTCTGTTCAGTCATGTGTCCTTGTTAATTGCTCCCACCTGCCTCTCGTTTTCCAATCACCCAAGCTCCCAGCCCTCATGTATTTAAACCCTTTCAGTTCTGTGCCTCTTGTTGGCTCATTGTTTCCATGTCCTGTGTGTTCCTTATTAAAATCCTTGTTTTAAATGTTCCTGTCTGTCTGTCTGCTCCTTCCCCTGCATTTGGATCCTCACCTCTGCTTCACTCACCAGCACGCCTGGCAGCCTAAAGTCATTTTTTGGGGTCATTTGAAGCAGAAAACATTTGAAGAAATTGTCTTCTGGTTGAAATTTTGATAATTCTGTGACATTTTATATTACGGTAGGTGAGTGTCACGATGTGGGGATGTTTAGAACCCAAAATGCATATTACCCAGGATGACACGAGGCAGGGATGAAGGTTACGTAAAAATACTTTATTTAAAGGTGAGCCAAAAACCAAAAGTTAAATCCAAACCTGGGAGCCCAAAAACCAAAAAGTAAATCCAAAGCTGGGAGCCAAAATCCAAAAACCAGATCAAGAACTGGAAATCCAAAAACACAGGTTATGCATAGAGAGATGTGACTGACAGAACTACAAACACACTGACAGCAACAATGGACCAACAAACACAGAGTGACTAGACAAGGCTTATAAACAGAAGGGAGGTGATTAGGGGAACAGGTGGCAGGTGTAAGTGGTGAGCTGGAGGGAAAGCAGGTGAAAACAATAATCTAAATGGTGAAAAGAAAACAAGCAGGAGGGCAGATAACTCTAGAAACTGGATAATTAAACTTAAAGACTCAGGGCAAACAACTATTAACTAGAGGGATAAGAGAGGAGAACTAAAACTATGAAAACTAAGGAGTGACTAGGAGGACACATGAGGAGAGATCTACAGAGGGCTGGGGATATTACTGGGCCCAGAACATGGAGGACCTGGAGTGGGAACTGGAGGTGCTGGGGAACAAAGGGACACAGAACATGACAGTGAGGAACTTTACTCATTTTTTATATGTTTGCAGTGATCCCTAGAAGGAATTAATGCCTTGTAAGTTGTAATGAATTAGATTAGGTGTTATTTATTGAGCCATAAGGCGTGGGATTCCATAGGAAATACGAAATCCACCTTACAGATCTGTGAGTTACTTAAACCAGAAGATTGGATCTTTTTATTGCAGGGATTAGATAACTGCTCTGTATTCACTCAGAGCCAACAGAAGAGAGAGAGTCAAGTTTAAAAGTTAAGAATTTTATTACTAACAAATTAAACTAGACTGACTTTAAAACTAAATGCATGGTGTTACTAAAGTGGATGAGACGGTGAATGGATGACGTGTGATGTTAATCAGAACCAGCAAATCCGAAGAAGCGATTAGTTCTGACGGGAACTGAAGGTGTTGTCTTCGCACTAAGCTTTGGTTAGGTTTACCCTTTGGTTTGTAAACACATGAGACACCATTTGCCGGTCTACCTACCCTTCAGGAAGTCCTCTTTAGATCCGGAATGTCAAGGTCTTAGCTTGACCCTCTCTGGAACCAAGCCGATAGGAAAGGCAGCGGTGCTGACCAGTCCAGTCTGAGTTACTTCCGGGTACACGACAGTTTGTTGGCGTCTGGTGAGACCCAAGCCTGGGTCTTGATGGTTCAGCTTTTGTTCTGAAAGGAACTGTTGCCGCTGTTGGTATAGCAACAAATTTTCTTCAGCTTGTCGTTGTTCTTTCGGTTGAAGAGTTTAGATCAGGATTGGCCACTCCGTCACTTTCTCTGGAACACTTTGAACTGGCGTTAGAGATGACGTGGCATAGTTTTATACTTTGGATGTTATGGTTTATTGTCGAATGAAAAATTACCAAACACCATCAAAACCACGCCTCCGTCAGATCTGTAAGATTCTGATTGGATCAGTGAAAGTAATGTGTCATGTCTTTTTAACACTAGGGGAAATGAGTCCTGTTGGAACACTTAATGTCACATTACTATATTACTATATTCTATAGGATCATAATAAAGTAATTAATATTTTGATTTCACAG